CCGACTAGCCGGTCACACGGTCATGTGACGTTCTGACAAGAAAACCGCTAAGTCCATTCCGCACACAGGACTGACCGGGGACGGTCAGTATTTGAGTCCCCCGCAGATGTACCAAACATTCCGGCGCCAGCCTCACAATCACCAGTTATGCACGATCCGAAGCTCACCTAGTCAGGTATTCACGTCCATGTTCATCCGGCCTATTCCGTCGACTCCCGCCCTCCCGGACACCTAACGGGTATGCAACCCGCGACGGATTCCCTCAATTGCCCCTCGTTCCTGTCCATCCATGTCCATCCATCCCCATTGGTGCGTTATTTCTCTCCTTTCATCACTCTGATCAAACAGCAGACTGTTTACATGTACATTCCCATACATGAGGCCGCTTGCCGTCCCTTACATATTATCGCGCTACGGCCTCGCCTATACTACCGTCGCTTAAGTGGGTCCCGAGTTTTCACGGGTTAAGATAAATAGTTGCATCGTACTCTACCAATATCACTTCCTTTTACTCCCTTGGATTTACTGTCTAAGTTGGTGTGATCAACAAGTCCCCTTAGTCTTCCGTACCGCAACGGACCTCTTCCCGTTCCTCGGATCACTTCCGGTAGCTCGTTACATCGAGACCTCGACACCTAGACACCTTGCCACCTCGATACCTTGCTACCTCGACACCTTGACCAAATCCGCACCGCTAGACATCCCGTCCCATCAGAATCGTTCCCGTCCGGACATCTTCCTCTCACATCGGATTCCCCACCGCTCACCGGCCGCTCAGATCTTAAGCCCGTCGGATTGATTCCTTTGCATTTATTGCGAAGACATCCCTCAGTAGCAATCCCCTTGGGACGAGCTATAATACTCGCACTCAAAACGGAATCGGTAGTCTACACTAACAGGCTACACGGAATCACTTTCGCTCAACGTTTAAACCACGTGTTGGGAACACGCCGCGATCCCCCCAACGCCCACAATCACAGGCACTAACAGAACATATTAACCGAATCACGCACATGCCTTCCTCTAACCCATTTAACTCAACTAACATTACTAACCACTCTTCCCCCCCTCCCACAGATAGATCAACCCCACCCGTGTCCCATGCCTGAACACCAGAACGCACCAACTGTCCGTCTACGCATATGGCAGCAAAACCTGAACAAGTCAATGGTCGCACAGGCCTCACTCCTCAACAATCCGGACGCATCCAAATGGGATATCATATTAATACAAGAACCGCATATCAACTTCCTTCGAAACACCTCCGCTAACCACCACTGGCACGTTATTTATCCCACGCAGCACTTCACGCACCCCCTTCAACGAACCCGAGCCATCACCCTCATTAAAGCCACCCTCGATACCAACCTCTGGAGACAAATTCCCTTCCCATCCTCTGACGTCACCCTCATACAGCTCACCGGCCCTTATGGAAAATGCACCATTTTCAACATATATAACGACTGTCAATCTCAGTCAACGCTTGAAGCCCTCAATACCTTTACCGAAACCAACATAGCGTCCATCCGCCCCACCATAGACGACCATATCCTATGGATGGGTGATTTCAACAGACATCACCCTTTATGGGAAGAAATGCGCAACCGCCACCTATTTAATTATACTGCTGCTAACCCATTAATAGATCTAATTGCTAACTATGGTATGATACAGATCCTCCCCAGCAACCTCCCAACGCTTCAATCCTCCAGTACCGGAAACTGGACTCGACCCGACAATGTATTCGGCACGGAACAAATACTGGACGCCGTCATCACATGTACCACCGCCCCTGAATTAAGGGGCCCGAAGACCGACCATGTGCCCATACACCTCGTTCTCGAACTCGAAACCCCCCGCACCAATGCCACGCCGCAACGCAATTGGAGAGACGTAGATTGGGAGAAATTCAATGAGCATCTACAGAGCCTCCTCTCCACTCACCCTCCCCAGCCAATAACCTCTGACGAACTCTTTCAGATCGCCACCCAACGCTTAACCGAAGCCATTACATCCACCATCAGCGCCCATGTCCCCCTATCGAAGCCGTGTCCCCACTCTAAACGATGGTGGACGCGGGAACTCACCAAACTTCGGAAGGACGTCAACGGCCTCAGTCGGTTATCATACCAAATGCGAGCCCTACCTCTCCACGAATGTCACGAGGAACTGAAGAATCTCAAGAACCAATACGCAGAATCCATCGCCACAACGAAGCAACAACATTGGACGGAATGGCTTGAAGACTTAGAAGGTAATGATTTATGGACGGCGAACAGATATGTGACATCCGATCCCAAAGATGGGGGGAAAACCCGAATCCCTACGCTCACCACCAAGCGACCAGACGGATCACTCATCGAAGCCTCTACGAATCAAGAGAAAAGCCTACTAATCGCAGAAGCATTCTTTCCCCCTCCGCCTATCACTGACTCTATACCCCCAGATCAAATATACCCGGATCCCATCGCACCCCACACTCCTTTCACAGCGGATCAAATCTCACGCGCCATCATGAACTTAAGCGGCTTCAAAGCCCCCGGCCCTGACGGCATCCTCAATATAGTATTCAAACGATGCGCGAGCGCCCTAATCCCACATCTCGTACTAATCTTTAACGCAGTTTTTACTCACAGGACATATTATGAACCATGGCGCCGCTTTACGACAGTAGTACTTAGGAAACCCGGCAAGCCGAATTACGCGATCCCCAAGGCCTATCGACCCATCGCACTAATCAACACGACATGCAAACTCCTTACAGCGGTAGCAGCCGAACAACTAACATATATCTTAGAACACCACCAACTACTGCCAAATACCCATTTTGGAGGTAGGCCATGTCACAACCCCTTAAACAACTTAATGCTAGGGCAGAGACTAGGACTCAAACAAAGGATATCACGATAAAAGAGATGAGATTGAGCAAGTACGTTTGGGCTGCTACAAGATGTAGAGACGAAAGGTTTGAACTAAAGAACTACTGACTAGAAATGTCCTAACTATATACAACTATTCAAGAGGAGATACAAACTGAGTTTTAACTACTAGCCAATCATAAAATAGGAAACAGAATCGTACGATGTGATAAGGTGAAAAGAAACTATGACGTCATGAGAAGCGATGCTGCTTCTGTGAAGTTCTGGAAGGTTCTAGGAGAGTCACGTGATGTAATGGCGTCTAAGTCTGGAGTTGGGATTTCGGTTATAGTAGCGATAGGTTTAGGGTTAAGGGTTGAGACATATTTCGGGCGTTCAGGAGTTAGCGCTGGGAATGGGCGCTTAATATTGACAGTTGAAAGGAAAGAATAATGATTTGTATTTGGAGCTCGTGACAGGCCAGGCCGCTCAACTACTGATTCTTTACACCTATTAGAAGCCACTATTAAGGACGCATGGCGCTCCCACCGCGTGGCCTCCGTCCTCTTCCTCGACATCGAAGGGGCATTTCCCAACGCCGTAACCCGCCGACTGCTCCATAATATGCGAATGCGCCGTATCCCCCACGAAATGATTGAATTTACGAAACGAGTACTGACAGACAGATTCACTCAATTACGCTTTGATGGATTCACATCAGAATGGATTCCAATAACGAACGGTATAGGACAGGGCGACCCCCTGTCCATGATTCTCTATATTATATATAATTCTGACCTATTGGAAGTAGCACAAAGTAGACGAGGAAACGAATCTCTAAAGGAGATGACACTCGCATTTGTCGACGACGCGGCGTTTATCGCAATAGCGGATGATTTTGCAACTGCGCACGCTAGACTAACTGACATGCTGGAACGCCCAGGAGGCGGATTCGATTGGTCACGCAACCACAACTCACGATTCGAAACTAACAAGTTTGCATTAGTAGATTTCTCCATGAACAAGCGCAAACCCCGCCCTGACATGAACATCCAAGGATCAACTATACGCCCAAGCAAATCCCACCGATTCCTCGGGATCATAGTGGATCAAGAACTTCGATGGTCCGAACAGGTAGACAATGCGATAGCCAAAGGCACGGCTTACGTGTGCCAAATTCGACGACTCTCCACCATGGCAAAAGGAATCCCACTATCCCTTATGCGACAGCTGTACCAAGCCGTCGCCATACCGAAAATGACGTATGCTGCTGACCTTTGGTTCACACCCTCATTTACAGATGGATCTGACATCCCCCAACGGGGCTCATTGGGAGTCGCCAAGAGACTCTCATCAGTACAACGACTTGCTACACTGGCCATGACCGGCGCCATGCGTACTACGGCAGGAGATGTCCTCGAAGTCCACGCAAACGTCCTACCAATCGCACTCGCACTCCACAACATCTGTCATAGGGCTATCGTCCGCATCACCGCTCACCCAGCAACACACCCATTATATCAGCCAGTTAGACGCGCTGCTAAGCGCTATGTATCCACTCATCGCTCTTCACTTCATAAACTCACCCGTCTTTTCTCCATTATTCCAGATGAAATAGAATCTCTAATCCCCACTAGACGCCCCCCTACTACAGAAAACCCCTTCAAAACCAACATCGCACCCTCCCGAGAAGAAGCCACCACCCTACACGAACAACTGACAGAGACCATACAGGTATACTGCGACGGGTCAGGCCACAACGACAAAATTGGCGCATCAGCAATTTTATTCCGTGCAGGCGCAGTACCACGCACCCTTCGGTACTACCTGGGCACCAAGGACGAACACACTGTATTTGAAGCAGAAGAGGTAGGATTAACACTAGCCGCGAAACTAATATCCACAGAACGCAACCTTACATTCCCACTAACCATATCTATCGACAATCAAGCGACCATACAAAGCACAATCAATCATCGTACCCGCCCTGGCTCATACCTCGCAGACCGCTTCCGCCGCATGATGCAAAAGATCGCAAACGACAACGAAGACTTTGACGTAACGGTACATTGGGTACCGGGACACGCAAACATCCATGGAAACGAGGAAGCAGATAAACAGGCCAAGAAAGCAGCAGAAGGACGTCAGAATAACAGCCCTCGCACCCGGCTTCCTCACTACCTACGACTAGGATCGTTGCCCCTCAGTATATCCGCCCTCAAGCAAGCTCACCATCAATCAACTCACGCCCGCTGGTCAAGAATATGGTCAAAATCGCCTCGCTATGCACGCACGCACAGTATCGATCCAAATATATTAAAACGCTCATTCATTAAACTAACGCAATCATTCCCCAAACGCCTTACAGGACTTCTAATGTGTTTACGCACCCATCACGCCCCGCTGAATCTACATCTCAACCGAATTGGAAAATCCCTCACCGCCTCATGCCCACAAGTCCCTGTAGGTATAATGCATTAAGTCTGCTTATCACAAGACATGAGTATTGCATTAACTATGCTCGTTGGCATGTTGAGTGATGCATCAGATCACGCTAACTAGCAGACCTACAGTAGTTAGCCTAGCATATTGTATAGTAGCCGGTTAGATTTCCAGTGCAGTCTTCGGCCACTTAAGGGCTTCAACATTCAATGAAAGCCGGTGACATTGATCAATAATGTATGTAAGGGACAATGATGTATGTAAGGTACACTACGCAGAAGCTCCAGAAGACCCGATCCATCACGAACCATAGATTGGCAGGCACAACGCAGAAGCTAGGGGCTAGGGAATATCGGGTATGGTGAGGTCAGGTAACGACAGTTCAGACAGCTGAGATGGCGGGTTGATGGGGAGGGCTTGTGGGAGGGCATGCGGTGAAAGATAAGGTGACCACAGTATGCGAAAATCGTCTGCCATCCTGCGACGGAGGTTAGCCTGTCGGACAGCATATGCATACAACCCTTCAGCGTGCGCGGCACACTCTCCAACACGCCGCTTTCCTTGATCTTCCCACCACGCTGCCTGCCAGGCAAAAAACTGAAGCACTCTGCGCATCTCTTCCCTCAACAACTCCACCTCTTCTGACCAGCGCAGTGCCCTCGCACGGCTTTTACACCACTCGATGCGGACACCTTGCAGCACATCAGCTTGCGCAAATATGGATTAAATAAAAACACTGACCATCATTATCACCTTCGTCACTGCAATCAACGCCATCCATCATCCAGATCCAAGATACTTGACGTCTCCCTTCACCAGTAGCGAACGGATCCACGAGGGGCTTGATGTCATTATCCGCCAGCTCCTGCAACCTCCCCTGCCAGTCTTTCTTCCCCATTGCTGTAGCTAGGGCCTTGAGCGCCACCCATGTCGACCGGTATCGCTTCACGCACGCAGTGCGCCTTCCATGGACCCGAGCGAGAGCATTCTGAGCTCGCGTGTTCGCGCCTTGACCCCGGATCCATTCTCGTTTGAATGACAGCAGAGAGCAATGAATCCGCAAGCACTGACGGATCTCTTCGAGTGTGTCGTGAGCTTGAGCGTAGCGCAACTCCCACTCATCATTTTGCAGGCGTGGATCACATGGTTTGTCTCTCAGCTGGGAAGGTAGCCAAAGCTTCATGCATTCGGCATTCTCTTGAACTTCACGCACTGCATGATTGATAATGCTTTGGACAGCGGGGAGGTAGAGGACATGGGCGCGTCTCCACATGTCGATTTTGCGCCGTAGCAAGTTCCGCATTCGCACGATGCTGCTTTTTTGTGTATCAGTAGCATGGATACCTAAGGATTCCACAGCAATGGTCAAACGACGCCTGAAAATCATTAGCACATTCATGACAATACGAGGGACATTACATACTGCTCCTCTTCGAGGTCGATGCCAGCGGCGATGAGCACACTACGTGATATTTCCGGATGTAAAGACGTGTCGATGCCCCGCCGAAGTTCCTCGGCCTCCAACTCAGCAAGCTTAAGCCGTGCACTTGCTTGCGTGATGGCTAAATGATTGTTAGTACGAGGCTCGTAGAATAAAATACCGCACTCACATGTAGCTTTAGCCTCGAGCGGATTAAAAACAGTTGTGTCATTGGGATTGACCTCCCAAACCTCCATTTCTGCCAACCACGCAGAACGGTGGTCGGGAGTGATAGCGGTGTCGAATTCTTCGAATGCCATTTTGTGTTCGGCCCTCTCAGCAAGGGCGTCCTTGATCTTGAGGAGGAGAGAGGCGCCCAACCCAACTGTTTTCTTCCAGTTCCAATCCCCAAAATGGTCGTCCAGGGTGTCACGACGGCAGCCAGGGCCCATAGCCTTCGTACTCGAGGCCACGGGGTTAATATTTGACCACCCTCTCTCTGGGGCCTCACCATCTGTGTGGCCGACGAAACGCGTAAAGTTGAACGAGAAAAGTGTTTGACACTTTGCGATATGTGCGGGGAGATGAAACTTTGGCACGAAAAATCGAATCACCTTTGTGAGGTAGTCCAAACTGTGGGATTGAGGAAATGATTTCATCCGCGCCCAGAGGTTCTTGTGCCATTGGCACGCGATGTCGTACGAAACATTTAACATTTGGAGTTGTGTACTGCGTAAGGTCGAAAAAAACAGATAGTCCATGTTGAGGTATCTGTGTGAATGCGTGATGAGACACGACACCGACAAGCAAAGACAATAACATACTTTTCACCTTTCTGTAAATCTCCGACTCCGTTTGGTCGTTTCATGTTATGACGGGCGCAATCGATCGTGCCCACACCTGTAGCTGCGAGCCCTTGTGACAGCTTCGTATCAGCCATGTTGACGGCATTGTGATTTGAACATGAGCTTTTCTGCAGGGTGGTGTGAATAAGCATGGGCTCGGGTTAATATCATCAACCACGTACCTCCTGCTCATCTCCGAGGTGTTGGGCCAGGAAGGTCTTGTATCCTTTTTCTTCCATGAAATACGCCCAGCCTTTTGAAAGGCTGGGGTCTACATCTTCATTCGAAACATCGCGTCTCTTCAATCGAAAATTCGCGTCTATTGCAACAAAAATTGCATATAGCCACCTTAACACGTTAGCCTTTAATTGAAACCATTGAGTTCCCGCCACATACCGTTTGGCTTTCCCAACATCTTGCCAACCGTCAGGCAGATTCTTGCCCGGCTGTGGGCATGCTGGACATAGAATAGCACACTCTCCGGGCGATGTAGCTTTAACACCGGCTGGGTCGTGACCACGACCAAAGCGCTTCACCATCTTCAGGTGGCGCCATTCGCGCACCATTCTCATAAATGCTTCATAGCGGTCCTAAATCTGAAGGTCAGCATTGTAGAACATCTGAGATAATAAAGAGCACCCACTGCCTTACGATTTGACAAGCCCGTATTATCTGTCAAGCGAACGAGTGTATGATAGAACTCGTACGCAGATGCCTTCGACTCAAATGAAAGGATATGATACTGTCGTAGTACTCGAAAGGTCGCTGCGGTCCTGGGGTCAGTTGAGGTGGACGGGAACCATCGATTTCGGAGTAGTTGCTTCGTATGTGTTTGCGCAGTCTCGCAACCACAAAAGTCGAGTCCAACCTGGTGTATACCGTCCGTATCCATGATAACGAAGTCATCATTGAAGGCTTTATGGGGAAGGATACAGCGCTGGCCAATAGGATGTCCGAGTTGAATACGAAGGCCTAGCTTCTTGAGTGACGTCCTCTGGAAACACACACCAGTCCACTCGTCGATGCGATGGGTGGGCAAGCACAAATGGTTAGTGACAGTGCAGCCAGTGACAGTACATTTGTGAATCATCACAGCTCTCGCATCGAACCAATGCAGGAGCAGTACCACAGCCTGCACACATATTGCCAGCATCCCCACGACCATCGAGCCGGATCATCTCCGCAAGATAGCTTTCGCGCTCGTCTAACCAAGTGAGAAGGGGGTGGTCCTATGCCGAAATCAACGAAATGTTAACAAATGTGACGGTGATAAGACTTACACCAGCTGTCTGCTTCCGCGTCTGCAGCAAATCCATATCGTTGGTGATGACTCCATAATCCATATCGTTGGTGACGACTCCATCCATGGCATCCATGGTGAAGAAATCATTGGGCTCCAAAACGTTAAAGGACGTATCCTCATGCTCTGCAGGTGAGGTGCTCAGGACAGCAGCAGCCGAACTCTGTCCAATGACATGCCGGCCCGACACATGCATCGTTCCATCTCGACGTGCAGCAAATGTGACCGAGGCATGCACAGGCTTCTGGGGCTCCAAGGTGGACGTCGGTGTATACACGTTTAATCTGGGACGTTTACGGCTGTTGACTTGTGAAAAGGTCCAAGGCAAAGTAACTGCCTGGATTGCTCTGGGAGATTGGCACTGAGAGGTGTCATCTAGTGAATAGCGTCAGATATAGTTCATGAGCAGCCAACATGTGCTTACCTTGGGCAGAGGCCATCTAGGATGTTATGTGGACGCTGCCAACAGTGAACACACGCAGGAGGGTGAGCTTGATAATCTGTAGAATAGTCTTATTAGGGAGAACAACAAACAAAATCAACCCATACAGACAAGAATGCGGAGTGATGCAAACTTTGCAAAGGTAATGGGAGGAACAGGTGAAGCGCGTAATGCAAAGAGTAATGCACCTGTAATGCACGTGTAATGCACGTGTAATGCACCTGTAATGCACATGTAATGCAAAGTGTAATGCATGTGAAATGCATGTGTAATGTACATGCTGGCTTGCGTGATGTGATCTGCATGCATGGGAAGAGCCGGTAAACTCAGATCGAACTGCAACGAATGAGCTGCAACGCACTGGGTGGCTTTTCCATGACTCGATATAGACGGCATTCCCAGTACAAAAGCCAGAATTGTGTATACAGGTGAGTCCCAATTTTCAATATTAATTCTCCGCCTACTATTTACACCCAACGATGACCTCCACAAGCACGATAGATGCTGTGCCTGCGGCGCCCATTGCTGGTGGTAATGGTACTGGCAATTGTACTGGTAAGCAAAAGTGTCCTCAAGTGCGCTCTAATCCTGACCATATATTCTACAGATAGTCTTGCTGCGCTCTTGGTGCAATTGAACATCACTGGGAAGCAGGCATCCGATGTGACCTCCACGATCCACGGCGTGGTGCAGAACGCATTGGTCGCTGCTGTTTCTGCCATCAGCACTGTTTCCACCACTACCACCTCAGTTCCACTCACACCAGCGCCAACTCCAGTTCCGGTGTCTGCCCCATCTGTCACCATCTCTCCTGCAACGTCAGGTGTCACTGTGCCACCTGTGTCAGCGCCCATACCACCTACAGCCTCAGCTCCACTCACACCAGCGCCAACTCCAGTTCCAGTGCCTGCCCCAGCTGTCACCGTCTCTCCCGCGACGTCAGGCGTCACCCAGCCTCAGGTCAATGTGACCTACGACATACCTCCAAACGATGCTATGGGACCCTTCTATTGGGTGACTCGTGGACGCCGCATTGGCATCTTCTCCACTTGGTAATTAATTTGCATCGTTTTATTTTCAAATTAACACTTACTGACTAGTGATTCACCAACAGGCAGCAGACTTCTTCCCATGTTATTGGCGTGAGCAGGGCCTCGTTTTCTAAGGTGCGCTCAGTAGCCGAAGGCATCCAGTTGATGGAAGCGGCAATCGACCGCGGTGAAACGGAGATATTGCCCTAATGTATGCATTGTATGTAACATGTTTCTTGAAGCCTTCCAAGTTGTTTCTACTGTGTGCAATATGATCGCGCTTGGCTGCCATGAATTTCAGTGTGAATTTTGATGAGAAATAAGGAGTGACAATGAGTGGCATCATTGAACGGCGTTTTGACACACTTCGAGGTTCTATGTAAGCTCAGATCCGCGCGTTCGACGCTACTCATACCAGCCTCAACCTACCTTCCATTGCGACCATCTTCCTACGCTCCCCTTCCATTGCGACCATCTTCCTACGCTCCGCGGAAATAATGGGTGCCACCAGTGTCAAGTTCTTCACTAGAGCCCGTTCGATGGATCATGTCCCGCTGCCTTGGGAGGCGAGATACGCGGACTGGGAGTCACTAGATATGACGCGGACTGGGAGTCACTAGAGAAGGCGCACAATACCATTGGGAGGCGAGATACGCGGACTGGGAGTCACTAGATATGACGCGGACTGGGAGTCACTAGATATGACGCGGACTGGGAGTCACTAGAGAAGGCGCACAATACCATGTATGAATGGTACCAGAAGTGCTCGAGGGGGTGTTTAGTTTCAGTGCGAATCTCATTGAGAACAAGACTGTATAGACTAGACTCAGCGAGAAGTGCCGGTTTTGCTAAATCCGCGGCCTAGTTGATGTCCTAGGGTATTGTAAATCTATCATAAATCTCCAACCCAGTACTAAATCTCCAACTCACAGTGAACTCGTAGAGTAGTCATGGGCCGTCCTCGATTGCACAAAACTCAAGAAGAGAGTACTGAAGCTGCACGCATTTCCAGACGGAAATACTATCAGAGGTGCGTAAATATCCACTTGGTCTGAATTGTAGTAACAAACCTCATACAGGAATAAGGAACGATGTAATGCTGCTAAGCAGAGCTTACGCAATTCACTCAAGAAGAGCAACACAGATGAGTCCGTACAAATTTCTTCAATGAATGTATTCAGACCTCACTGATCACTGACTTATGTCTTACTGTAGAGTAGTCATGGGCCGTCCTCAATTGCATAAAACTCAAGAAGAGCGTACTGAAGCTGCACGCGCATCCAGACGGCAATACTATCACAGGTGCGTATATATTCAATTGGTCTGAATTTACGGTAGTAACAGACCTCATACAGGAATAAGGAACGAATTATTGGTGCTAAGCAGAGTATCCAGTCTGAACCTGTCCAGCTAGCCAATGGTGCAGCTATGTATGAATTTGTTTCGATGAACATATTTAGACCTTACTGACTTATGGCCCCCGCTAAAGAATTGGTGTCGAAGATGTCGAGTCCAAGCTCAGGGCATGCATTCAGCTGGACAAACTGTCCGATGAATTGGTGAATAACTTTGAACATGGCCGACAAGCGGTTTTGGATACCCTGTCTGAACGGCTTGAGACATTGGGCCACATTGAAGAGTATCTACGTTACACAACCTCAGTTCATCACGATCGCGTTGATGGCTTCGTGTGCCGGTGTAAACTCATTGTTGCGGCTACTGAAGAACTATGGTGCTATGCAGCTGTGAGTGAGGTAGACGAGGACTTGGTATCAAAGTACAGCCGTCGAGCTCTGTTATGTCAGACATTATTGTAAAATTGCCTATGTAGTTCTAGAGTATGATCACATGATTATGGGCGAGCTTCTTTGGTGGCCCATAAATAAAAATCGTCCTTACCAAAATCGATCCTTATCATTACCGTCCACCTTGAGCCATTGTACGAGCCCCGTTTTTTTCATATCCATCTTAACTGACATGTCAGCGATACAGATGTCAGGGTGTCCCCCTTACCGACGTCATGTATGGAATGCTCAGGATGAGTTTCTCCAAGCCAACTCGGATGAATACTTTGAGCTCTTCAACGCTCGCGCAAGTCAAAGAGATTTTAGCGAATTCTTCAATGATATTTTTTACCGGTGGTTCAGACTTTGGCCACCGGAGCGAGCTTTGTTCCCTGGCATACCCACCAATTCAACATTGTCAGCAGACCAAGCACTTGCAGTAATGGGCGCTGTGCGGAGGACTAAGCTGGTAAGTAGGGCACACTTCAATCCAATGTCGTTCGCTGATTCAAAATTTAGTGGATTGTTCGATACTTTCGGTGGGCTGAGGTGCGCCACAACACGCACATGTAAATCTGTCCGGAATTCTGTCTTGAGCTTCGGGATTGGTCACCTAGCAATCATGTAGTCATCGTTAATAGATATATTGATTCGCGTACCTATAATTGGTTGTGGTATGCAAATCCCTTGTGGAAGATCTTAAAATATATACTGTGTGATTTAGAGGAGACACGCACCTTCAACCAGAACAACCCCATGTCGATGTCGCAGACCAGGATTCTGTCGCACGAGCAGCGTCAGATGCTCAAGTCATTTATACCTGCCTTTAAGATTGCAAATAACGGGTCAGTAGACGAATTGGAGACGCTCTGGAATAGTGTCGACTCCCAATTTTTTTCAACATGGCCGGAACGCGCTGTCCACTATCCAGAGGTACCGCTGACTGAAGAGTTGAGTAGCCTGGGGCAGGCAATAGTCAATAATGCGATCATACTCAGGCGTCGCGTACGTTCTCACCTTTGTGACAAAAGTATTCTAACATTGTTTGTCGTAGCGTATACGATGGTTCATCCACATGAACCATTTGTACAGAGAGTCGTCTAAACGACCAAGTACCCTGACAGGATATTTTGCGGTCAAAAAAAACAAAAGGTGGGTTAGACCTCGTAATACTGCATTGTGATGTTGGCACTAAATTTGGTACATCAGAACATAGAGGTTCATTGCAGCGGAGAGTGTGCAAAACTGAACATACCATTTGTTACGTTGTATTAGTCTTGTAGCCGTGATTGTAACTAGTGCACCGTGGATCTTGAGAAGCGTTGCTGTCAGAAGGGAAAGAGTCCAAAGGACCAAGACAGAAAGATTGGATCGAATACCTGATTCGCGCATCAAAATTGAGAACTAAACACACAGATTCTCTTCCTAGTTGCCTTACTTATCCACGTCCCACATAGTCGCGTTCGTCGCGTCTGCCATCCCACATAGTCGTGTTGTCGCGCCTACTCGCCTTGAAAACTCACCTGCTCTAAAGGATGCCACAGAAAAAATGGACCAAGGACCAAGAGGAGTTCCTTGCGAGTTACTTGACGCAATATCGGGCATGTACCGTGTCCAGGAAGTACGCGAATTTTAGTGCCGAGATTGGCATGAAGTTCTTCGAGTGTTGGCCTGAGCGGAAGGCTCTCTTCGGTGACCTGCCAGATGACGAGGTTCTTACACCAGAACAAACCGTAGCTCTAGCACAAGCCGTTGCAGAGAGGAAAAAGGTAAGTGTCATCTACACATTGCGTCAGAGATATACTAATTGGATTGTAGCGGTTAATCACCTGGTATAGGTGGCAGACAAATCCATCGCGTCTGGGCCGTACAAGCGGTATTAGGGGGGTGCTGAGGTTTGACACCGTGTTAGCTGGTGGTGTCGAGATGAGAGGTACTCGTGCTCCCCAGAAAATAGACCTATACTCCCACAAGTTCTACGAAAAAAAGATCAAACACGTAGCAGACAAGGCCATTCACGAGCAGAACATTACCGAGCGGGGCCCGAAGTTGAATAAGCGTCGTGATATCATTCGCCAGATGTATGTGGAGGAGAGCGAAGAAGTCAAAGCCAAGATCGAGAGGAAGTATTCTAAAACAAAGGCAAGGTATGCGAAAACTCGTGCAAATCTGAAAAAGGGGAAGGCGCCAAAAGTCGACGACAGTACTAAAACAAAGTGCGTACCACCCACATGTATATATATCATTCTTGATGGAACAAACCAGGGCAATTCGTGAACTGGGGCCCATGCTGGATCGTATTCTTCAGTACCTCAGGCATATTACGGGTGGTTGGAAGTTCACCGTGTTGATGGGGGGGCATGATCCAAGCACAGGCGAAGTGTCTGTATTCAAGTAAGTGATAATTGATAGTAAACAATGACGGCACTCACCCATATTATTAAGCTACCATGTTGGGGAACTCGAGAGTGGCGCGCAGTTCAACCAGGCTTACAGTAACTTTGATTCGATGCAGAGCGCTTTCCTGAGCTTTGTCAAGGATGCCACTGGTACGTTTGAGGTGTTTTATGCTACTCAGTGCTCACCATGTTGGCATAGCATTCGAATCAGCATTATCCCACGAGGCAGATAGTGCCATAGACTCAGATTCGGATGATGAAGACGATGGAGAGACTTCATCGGGCTCAGAGGACGGCGACGATGGTGGTGTGCATGAAAGTTCCAGAGGCTTATATAGGATGCCTGCATCAGACGGTTCTCTCACTGATGCCATGTTGGTATGTGATGCATTGGTAATGCAATGCTGGCACAACTGATCTGGCTGCTGCAGGACTCCACTGCTGCATCACCCATCCGCGTCAACAGCCCGGGTGATAATGCGGAGCTTTCTGGATATGGACAGCAAACTAGGGACGCAGTTCTCGCTTTACAGGGTTACGTTTTGAACGACAGTGATGCATTACCCGCCATGGGTGATGCATTACCAGCCATGGGTGATGCATTACCAGCCATGGGTGATGCATTGGGTGATGCATCACTTGATTTACAGGCTGATTTCCCCCCCCATCGCTGATACATCACCTGTTAGTAATTTACCGCAGGCGTTTGGATATTCCCACCCAGTCCCTTCTGACGAACTCTTGGATGCCGACCCATCCGCTTTTGATCCATATGCTTTCCTTGACCGTGCCCCCCTCGAGGTGATATTGGCCCTCAACTCTTTGGAGTTTCCGCTATCCGGAGACGACTCCCAGAATTCAACACACACTCCAGTTGATGCGTCCACTGGGGCCCTCAATTCCTTGGAGTTTTCACCATCTGGAGACGTCTCCCAGCATTTGGTACATAGTCACACTCCAGTTGATGCGTCTATTGGCACTTCTTCTGACCTTTCACATCCGGACACAAACTCCACCCCCCTGACACCCATGACAGAACCCAGCCTCCCTGCAGTACCTTCGATACCTATGACGGAAGTTGTTCTCCCTGCGACGCCTTTTCCAGATGTGTGTCTTCCTGCGGTGCCCGTCGTGGATGGTCAGACCACCAGCCAAGACGAAGGTGTTGCGAGTGTTGCAACTCCAACTCAACGACAGCCTCGGCGAGTTGTCAGTGGTAAGCGCGGCCATACTACAATGGTTGACAATAGTCAACCACCGGATGCTGCTGCACCTGAGGGAACTCGTCTTCGTCGTAACCGTGTCGCATTCAATCCACGAGAGCGGGACAACGCAATTGGTGACCCGACCCCACGCAATGACCGCAAGCGCACTGAAGATGGAGGATTGCACAAGTATGTATACCTTGCTTATATGTCTGGGATCATTGCTGATGATTCCCGCAGGAGAGCGCGACGCTCATGATTGATCTAGTAGATTTAAAAGTTTTGTTAATCGATACTCTTTTGTTTATGTTCTTGTAATACACTTGTGACTGTGCATGTACATAGTACCACGCAACATATTTGCTCACATAGTAATCAATCTGTGTTTTTTTCATGCTCGAGTGTTCAGAGAGACTGGTCACTACCATTATAAGACAATCACTCAGGGCTTAACATAGAGACTTTGGAATTTGACTCGGAATGATTCATCGCTGATCATTGTGGCGCGCTGTGGACTTAGTGCATGAAAAGAGCAAAACTGACATCATCGGATCGATATCGATCATTACTAATCACCCCATGATGACGGCTCGATTGGTATCGACCAGGTAGTATACATGAATAGACATGAATAGCAGGAGGCCTTCTAAAAACAAGCTGAGTAGCCGGCACAAACCAGGTGCGAAGTAAAGAGCCAAATCAAGGCAGAGGTAAGCAGGGCACATCAAAAGGAAGCAAGGTACCGTCAAATGACCAGGCACGGTACTGCTGAATGCATCCTAAA